GGCACTTTGACAGGATCATGGGCTGTGATAATGGACAAGGATGGTTTGACCACGATCTGCCACTCACCTTTTTCCTTGTTGAAGCGAAAAGGCATGATTGGGACTGAGGGGGAAAGTGTGATGGCATCAATCGTGGCTGCCACTGCCCATTCTGATGGGCTTTCGTCTGCTAATCTGTTGAGGGAGGGAGAGATTTTCCCCAGTTATTGGTTTTGTTCCTCGAGGTGTCTTGTTTGCCTCTCGAGGATTGCTATTTGTCTCCTCTTCTCCTTCTTCAGGTTTTTTGGTTGACTGTGTAGTTCCATGGCAAGCACTTTCATCTTCCCGTCTTTAGTGAGGTGTGTTCCTTGTTCTTCAAGATTGCTAGGAAACCCCTCTTCGTGAGTTGTTGCCTTGTCTGGTTCATTGTTTCTTTCCAGTCAGCTTCCATCCCCTCTTCACTTTTGTCCACGTACTGAGATGCCAAAAATTACGAAAAGTTGTTTTCTGATTGTAGGGCTTCGTAGGGTTTTGGGGAGGTGGGAAAGCCTGCAGTGTTATCCGTTGTGGTAGACTTTTTAAGACTGCTTATGTGTCTTGCATGTGCCAATCTGATTTCCAAGTCTAGTTCACGACGGGATCTCAGCGTGTTGTGCGAGTCTTCCTCCATTGAATTGTCTTGGATGTCATCTGTTGTCTTTGCTGGGAGTGAAATGTCCAGTAACACGCCGTTGGTCGTGTCATCAGATGTGGAGTCCCCTTCCCTGCACTTTTTTGGGGTTGGGGATTTGTCTGATTCCATGGCTTCTTCCTCCTCTCCTCTGATTTTCCTTTCGGGTTTACCCGTGGTCCCTGTGCTGCTTCTGGATCTGCTCTTGGCTGCTAGGTTGCCTTCGAATGCAGATTTTCGAGGTAGGATTTTTTTGTTTTTTTCCCCATGCTGTGTACTTCACTCGAAATTTGGTTCTTGTGCATTGTCTGTCCCAGATGGAGTGCGCGTCCCAGGGTGAAGTTGTCATATCTGTGGGTGGATCTATTGTTCCTTTTCCCTCCATTCAACTGCCATCTGCTCCCATGAGGGGGGAAAACATCAGGTTTGCATGTTGGCTCTGCGTCTGACAGAGTCCAGATCCAAGTTGGGGTTTCTCTGAGGTCATCAAAAACCCAGCCTGCATAGGCTGGGTCATTGATGATCCAGATGCCCTTCAATGCTTCTGCTTCAATCATCATCGAGGGGTGCATTCCTTTTCCATCTCCCTTTCTGTTGTTCAGGGGGCAGTGAGGATCGTTTCCCATGTGTCCTTCGATTCTACACCTGAAGCACATGGGATTCGCTTTCGTGGAGATGTGAACAGTTTGGATTTGGTGGCCTATCCGGAAAAACCATTTGTCAGGAAGGTCGGGAGGGTTGCTTGCTTTGAGTTCGACACAGGCTATTCTGGAGTTGGTGCTTGGAGTTCGGAAGCCGAATGCTGAGGAAACCCACTCGACAAGGGGGCATGGGGGATAGGAATCTTTCAGCATGTCTTCCACCATGCCATGCACACCATCCGTTAGGTTGTCAAATTGAATCCAGAAGTGTTTGAGCATCAGCGCTTGTCTGTCTTAAAGACCCCTGTGGTGTTGATCTATTCGGTCTCAATTTGTTGATGGAAACGACTAAACCCTTGCAGTACAGTGCTTGAATCGATACTAGGTATGTGGCGTAGTCTGGGTTGCCGCACAGTACTGTGATTGTGTTCTTTCCTCTCTGTTGGTAGGCAACTTTGGGTTCGGTGATTCTCAGGCTTTCTATGTTCTGTGGTGCTTCACGGATCCTCCTTTTTTCCGTGGGCGGTAAGTGCTTCAGTTTAGCTGGAAATGAACAGACAATTGCGTGAGATTCATAGAACTCATCCATCAAGCACTGGGAGGTGCTCCTTTGGGTATTCCCAAGCTTCCACCTCCGCTTCCTCTTCTTTGCCGATTTTCAGGAGTTCGTTTGAAATTATTGGTCTGATTCTTGTCTCTTTGACCATCAAGCTGAGCACTTCCTGGCTTGGATCCTGTTCATTTTGGGAGCGCATTCCTTTGGATTCCGATGTTGAGGTGTGATCTTTGCCTGTGCCCGAGGCAGATCCTGAGGCTGGGCCTGAGGCTTGTCCGGATGCGGATCTCGAGGGGGAGCCTGTGATTGAGTTTGGTCCAGTGGTTGAGGTTGGCACGGGTGTTGCAACGTGAGAGGGCGTCATTGTGATGTTTGACCGCTAGACAGGTTGGTCGTGAAACAGATTAATGTCTTAATCGGGATGGGTATAGTGAAGATTACGGGAGACCAGATCTCGTTTGTGAGATGGGATCAGATTGTGGAGAGCGGTCTCAGTCTGGAGGCTATCTACATAAAAATCGGCAGTAGTTTGCCTCCTCACCCGGAGATTTGGGTTCTGGTTTGAGGTGGGGAGAAATTTCGGCACAGGTTCCCCTCCCCTCCTGGGATAGAGGGAAGGGAAACCAATTGAAAGAGGGGATATGATGAGGCGAGGATTTGAAATGGTGAATTGGACAGAGCTTCGCCTCCCGGCCTGGGGAGCGTGGAAGCTTAACCTGGTTTCAAGGAAAAAGGACAGTGCTTGGACTACCCCCTTGGGGATCGTTGGATCATATACCAGATTGAACAAAAGGGAGTATACGGGAGACAGGTCTTCGGTGCTGATGACGGAAAGGCAGCGTAACACCTCCCCACTTGGGGATCGTGCGAGCAGATCTAGAAGCATGTGTGAGATGGATGAAATGATAGTGTTGAGAGTTGAGTGTGAGGGGAAGATTTCTAACGGGGAGTAATTTTACCACGAAAAGAGGAGACGGGAAGGTGTGGAAAAGGTTACAAAAATGGATGCGATTCATGAATCGACGATGATTAAAAAAAAAAAAAAAACCTTAGTGAAGAAATTAATGTTAAGTATGGTTACGTAAGTCTGGGATATGTTTGTTACTTTGTTTGGGGAGGGGAGGGAGAGAGAGCGGCGGGTTGTGAGAGGTCCAAAGAGACGGTATGTTGAGGATGGGGTGAATTCGGGAAGTACGCTGTAGGGGGTTGAGGGGGTAGGTAGTGGGAGTAGGGTCGAGCTACGGAAGATCAGGGGGGATTAAAGGGCAGTTCGGGAGGAAGGAAGTGGAGAGGAGACGGCGAGCTAGGTGAGGGGGTGCGCGTCGAGGTACGGAGATTTGGGAGAGAGGCGGGGGGATGGATGTTCTGGGTAAGGAGGAAGGGTGTGGGGGCGTGGGGGCGTGGGTCCGCGTGAGGAGAGACGGGGGAGAGTTGGGGTGGAGAGTGTATGTGGTGGGGGGGGCGCGGGAAGGTTTCGACGAGGCTTTGGGGTAGGGGGAGACGAGGAGGGGGGTCGGGGTGGGGAGTTGGGTTACTGCGCCCCGGGTGAAGTGTTATGTGTTGGTTGTTGAATCTAGCTGTGTGCCGTCTAGCATGCAGAATGTAAGGATAGGGTGTGTCTTGTATCTGAATGAACTATTGATAGTCCGAGTTCGTTGTTGACCTGTCGCTGAATGACATTCCTCTGTTTACTGGTATTGTAACTTCGCTATAATCCAGTCCGGTTTCCTTGACCTCCCCTTGGGTTTCCTCCTCTCACTCTCTGCATCTTTCCTCTCCTCTTGCTGTCCCGTGGGCTCTTGTCCTCTTCCGCTCGCTGCTTCTGCGCGAGGTAGGGAACGTTATGGATGTAATCTGGCCAGTACTTCCCTCTTGGTGACAGTCATGCGATCGAGTCTGCTGTCCTCTTCCCAGATCTCCCGCTGGAAAACAGAATCTACTGCCTAACTTCCTTCTGCCGTGCTCTTCCTCGACTGAAAGTATCAGTGAGGTTTCTGTGTGGGGTAAGGTCTGGCTTGAGTCGACTTACCTTGTTTAGCATGGGATACGATTCGCAATCACCTCTTTCCGTCGAACTGTTGGAGATTCGTAGTTAGTGCTCAGCGCCCTTTCTGTCCTCCTTTGTCTTCACTCCACGTTTGTACGCCTTTAGTCTCCTCGACATTTCACTGCTCCTTCCTTGTTCGTCCTTCTTTCCCCGTGCTTCTTTCTATCCCTTCTCTTCCCCCTTCTCCCTCTTCACTGTTCCTCCTTTCGTTTCACCACGGGTTTCACCTTCTTCGCCGGTCCTTTCCTCAAGATAGTAATAAGTTGCCGCGCCTGAAGGCACGACTCTACTAATTACTTGTATCCTCTTCTTCCCCTGTACCTTTCGTTGTCCTTTCCTATTCTTGGTATCTGCCCTCTTCTCTTTCTTTCTTCAAAGTTCTTCTCTCCTGCTCGCCTCAGAAAGGATTGTATTAATTTCCTCTCTTTTCTCGCTCCTCTCCTCCGTTGTCTTTTCCTGATCTTAGTTGTGTCCTGTTTCTTTCGTTTCCCCAGTTGTTCTTGCTGCTCATCCCTCTGCTTTCTATCCCTCACCTTCTCCCCTCTTTCCTTCGTGTCCCTACCCGCTATGAGTGTAGCCACGCCCGAAGGCATGGCGGGCTGAGGCTTGTTCCCTCCTCCTACTTTCCCGCCTTTTCTCTTCATGTTCGAAAAGTATGATGCACACGTTCGCGCGCGACGCGAATTCCCGCTCGGGTCGAGCGAATTCGTCGTGCCGTGGTACCGGGGATTAGCGCTGGAAAAATAGCGCTCACCGGACGGCGCTAGAGCTAGACTGGTACCCTAGTTTACCGCAAGTTACGTACCGGATTGCTCCTATAAATACTGTGAGTACAATGAAAATAGTCCTCTTACGGGACACGCGCTCTCCGCATTAGCGGTTGCGGGCGTCGGGTTGGTGGAACATTTGGAGGTTCACGGGACTGTGGATGGATTCATTGCCGTAATTCTATTCATTGGATTGTACTTTGTCATTCCGGTGTCACGCGGATGTGGAACAGTGTTTGACGTGCTTTGTGTACTCACACCAAGACACTCATTCATCATGTTGTTGAAAGCCCGTGTGAACGATCCTGGAGCTACGTTACCGGGATAAGTGAGCACGTTTTGGTAACTAATATCTGATACCCGACTTTCTTTTGTCAAGCGGTGGAGGCACTACGACGACCCGGCGAACCCCGGTAGCTAGTGTGTGTACTCTTTGAAGTTTTGACAAGTCTGGACACACCTGACAAATGGCGGGCCATGGAGAACAACGGGACCGTGGAGGCGAGTATTGGGAGTACGGTGGCGATCGTGGGTATGAACGGGGTCCTCGACGAGGACCGCCAACCTCTGCTTTAACTGTGATGAACCGGGGCACTATGCTAATCAGTTTCCTCGTCCACGTCGATATCCCAGCCAGAGGCCGGCTTCGTCTTCAGACTCTGGACGTGGGAGATCCATGTCACCACGCCGATACGACCACGAGTACTCGGAAGCGGTCAGCGTCGAGTGACTCCCTTCATTTGAAGGTTGCCGAGATCGACAAGAGTGTTGCAGCGGTCTGTCAATATGTTGAAGTGGAACAACAGAAGAAGGCAGTGAAGGAACGGAGGAAAGCTGAGAAGGATGCAGAGGAGCGCGCTATGGCAGAGCAGGGTGAGTTGGCCCTCAAGAAGGAGGAGGAGGAGAAGGTGCGGAAGGCTATGGAACGACTCGAGGAGATGAACAAGAATGTTGACATAAGGTTTGTTGTACGAATTGGGGAATTACGTGAGGACGTACGGGACCACATGCGACATGAAATTTGTGAAGCTTTCAGCGAACTTTGTGCCGCGATGGCCAAGGGCAAGCAGGAGGTTGCTTACCAGCAGGAAGTTGGTTCGGAGAGCAGCGCAAGCAGCAGTGAGAACGAGGAATTAGGTGCTCGCACTCGCAACTTGAGCATCTCAGAGAAACCAAAACATGGACCGGAGCCAGTCTTCGAGGTTAGTCCTCCTATGGAATTGCCTGCGAAACGTACGCTGCAGGGAGCGGTAGAACCGGTCAAACTGACTACAGGACTGACACGATCCAGGGCCCGCGGCAAAACCAAGACCCCGATACCGAAGAAGACCCCTCTGTTGATACGGAAGAAGATCCCCGCATCCATTGGCGCTGGCGGGGGACTGAAGTTGGAGAGACAAGTGATGCACGACCTGAAGAACTTGGATGCCCTTGTTCTGCAGAATATCTGCAAAGACGAAGGAATCGCCTATAACGGCAAGTTCAAGGTGATTTTTGACATTGCCGCACATCGCACTCGGGTGGCCTACGGGTCGGATGTGGAGACCGATGAGGATCCTTCCCAAGGAGGTAATACTGTTGAGATCGCATCAGGCGAAGAAGGTAAGCAGGAAGGGGGGTGACGCGCTTTCAGTATTGCTGACCTTTGGGGTATAGTCGGCTCACTTAGGAAGCTCAAATTTGTGATTGGAGGTGTTGATGGACTACGTTAAAGATGTAGTTTGCACTTTCTCCTACCCAAGAGGAAGTTAAAACATAAGATATCATTCCTAGTGAGCGACGATTTGCCCTTCGACATGTTGTTAAGCATGCACTACCTCGAGGTTGCCAAGCCCCAGTTTGACTGGGACGAGAAGGTGTTGAATCATGAGTTGCCTAATGGGAGAACCGTTAGACCGGCTAAGTATAGAGCCAGTAGGTTAATAGACTCCTATGGGTGTTTATGCGCATCTGCCTTCTATAACTATTATAAACAGAACCAAGAGGAAGGAATGTACTTAGTCTATGTCTCTGCAAAAGGGGAGGCCGTTAAAACACCCTCAAAGATAGAGACAATCGTCACTAAGTACCCTGATCTGTTCGAGGAGCCCTCAGGATAGGCAGGGAGGTTGTCCATGTCATAGAAATCATCCCATGTAGCAAGACATTTAAAGGGAGAATTCATAGGATGGCTCTGACCGAGTTGGACGAGCTTTGTCGGCAATTGAAAGAACTCACATAAAAGGGTTGGGTTTGGCCTAGCACTTCTCCCTTTGGCTTACCAGTCTTATTTGTTCCAAAGAAAGAGGGAGCACTAAGGATGTGAATTGATTATAGAGGCCTTAATGCCATCACCGTTAAGAACGCAGAGCCTCTACCACACATCGACGAGGAAAGAGCTCACATACAAGGGTTGGATTCGGCCTAGCACTTCTCCCTTTGGCTCACCAGTCTTATTTGTTCTAAAGAAAGAGGGAGCACTAAGGATGTGCATTGATTATAGAGGCCTCAATGCAATCACCGTTAAGAACGCAGAGCCTCTACCACACATCGACGACCTATTGGATAGGGTGCAGGGGTGTAAGTACTACACTAAGATAGACTTAAAATCCGGCTACCATCAGATTGCCATCAAACCAGAGGACCAACACAAAACCGCATTTCAGACCAGGTATGGTCTGTACGAGTTTGTGGTGATGCCCTTTGGCATTTGCAATGCGTCGGGTACATTCCAGCACGCCATGAATAGGATCTTCCATGACTACTTAGATAAGTTCGTCATCGTGTACCTCGACGATATACTTATCTTTAGTAAGACTGTCGAGGAGCATGCGCAGCATGCAGATAAAGTCCTCTCACTCCTTCGGCAGCACAAGTATAAGCTAAACAAAGAGAAATGTGAGTCCGGTCGCATTCAAATCTTGTACTTGGGTCATGAAGTATCCGTGGATGGGATTAGGCCCAAAGATGCGAAGGTGGCTAGCAAATGTGACTGGCCACGCCCCCAGTCTGTGACTGAGGTCGGATCATTCTTGGGAATGTGTGGATATTACTGAAATTTCGTAAAGAATTATAGTACGATTACATCTCCCTTGACTGATCTAACTCGACTTGACACACCAGGGGACTGGACCGACGAGTGTGAGGGAGCTTTCAAGCGTTTGAAGCATGCTCTCACGCACCATGAGGTTCTCATGGTACGCGACCCGCAAAGACCTTTTGTTGTAACCACTAACGCAAACCAATATAGCATTGGCACAGTGTTGGCTCAGCAGACAGGGAAAAAGTTGAGACCGGTCGAGTACATGAGCAAAAAGATGTCATCAAAGAAGTTGGTAAAGTCCACCTACGAGAGGGAACTCTACGCTCTCGACAAGGCACTTGTCCACTGGAGGCATTATCTGTTAGGAAGGTTCTTTTACTTGAGAACTGACCATCAGACCCTCGAGTGGATTAAGACCCAACCATTTCTCTCTGATGCACTCAGGCGAAGGATTAAAGTGATAGATCAGTACGACTTCAAACTAGACTATGTAAAGGGAGAGTACAACAAGGTTGCGGATGCGTTGTCTAGAAGGGCAAATGACCTAGGTGCGCTGATTTCTGAGTTTGGCTTATCTAAGGACGTGACTCGATCCTTGGGGGAAGCCTACAAGGAAAATCCCGTCACGATGGACATCATCAACAAACTGCAGGCCAAAGACAAGGCCACTTCTGACGAGTTTGTGATGGTGGATGGGTTACTCTTTCTTGAAAAGGCAGGGTTTAAGAGGTTAGTTGTTCCATCTAGAGAGATTTTGCGAAGTTTATTCTTAGGTGAGTGTCATGACGCAACGAGACATTTTGGCCACAAGAAGACTAGTGCTAATTTAGTACAACGATTCTGGTGGCCTCACATGATAGACGATGCAAAGGAGTACGTAAAGACCTGTCAGGTCTGTCAGCGGGACAAGCCACGGACTCAAGCTCCCCTTGGGTTACTGAAACCTCTACCCATTCCTGCCGGCTCAGGCAAAGTATCTCGATGGACTCATGGATACTCTCCTGACCAGCAAGAATGGCAAGAGGCACATCTTCGTCATAGTATGCTAGACTAATTGCCATGTCGGGGATCGCCAAGATTGAACATGTCATCAAGTTATTCATGGATAACTGGGTGCGTTACTTTGGATTGCCAAAGACAATCGTTAGTGATAGAGATGTGCGTTTCAGAAGCGAGATGTGGAAGAAGGCCGCTGAACAGATGGGCGACCAACTTCGGATGACTTCTGGGAATCATCCCGAAGCAAATGGGCAGGCTGAACAAATGAACCGTGTGGAGCAGCATCTGCTGAGGCATTACATCAAGCCCAACCAGGATGACTGGGATGAGAAATTACCTCTCATCGCCAGCTTGTACAACAATGTTGTACACAACACCGTCGGCTTCAGTCCTAATCAACTACATCTGGGATGGAAGCCAAGATCTGCTCTAGACCTCCTCCTGCCCGAAAACCGAACTGCTGCAAGTCCTGGAACCATTGAATTTGGTGTCCAGTATGAGAAATTGTTGCAGCAGACTGTCGAACACATCAAGAGATCTCAGGAAACCATGATTGCTTATGAGAACAAACGTCGTCGACAGTCCACATTTCAGGTAGGGGAACGTGTCTGGGTCAAGGCTAGTGAGTTCGGACAAGAGTTTGGCATCTCTAGGAAACTAATGCCGCAGTATTTCGGTCCCTGGGAAGTCTTAGACATTGTGGGGAATGATTTGGATGGTCTCTCGTACGTCATTCGTATCCCTGGTAACCTACGCACATACCCTGTTTTTCACGCCTCCAAGCTTGCACCTTTCGCTGAGACAGCACAGTTCCCATCTCGGAGATCTATGCCGCCCCCAACCATGGATGGCCACGTGAACGTCGACGACATCCTAGATCACAAAGACACGCCTGTTCCCAAGCCACCTGGCAGGGGAAGACCTCCTAAACCTACAAGGAAATACAAAGTACATTTCAGGCATCATACTGATCCTAAGGAAGATCGATGGATTTCAAGGGAGGAACTTGTCAAGACAGCTGCTCAGATCGTGGCAGACTATGAGAAGAAATTGAAGGGGAAGGCACCAGCATGAAGCATATCAGCGGACTTTCGAAGCTGAGGGGGATGGAATGTGAGGAACGAGCCCTCAAGGGACCCCATCAAACATCACATGTTCTGGGCTAAGGCCCCCAACAAGCCGAGTGCCCGGCCTAAGTGAAGGCGGGCCTGAATATTCGACAAAGGCCATTTCCATATGTGGGTATTCAGGCTCTAGCAGCACACCAGTTGGTTGGGTAGACGCGCGAGGCTCACCAATCTGCGTCGTACAGTTGGCCCGGGCCTTGACAGTTGCGCCTGGGCACATACAAACAAAGCAGGGCCGATACATTGGGAAGCAGGCCATCGGCCTTTGGAAAAGCAGTACTGCCAACGTACCTACCTGGGAGCCCTTCTCAGATGCAGCCAACAGCCCAAGTCCGGAGACTCAGGCCGTGGGCCCAGGCCCTCAACTGTAGTCTCAGGCCTGGGCACAGGGTCTGAGGCCCAACCGGGAGCTACTGGAAGCGTCCAGCCAGGCCACACGCAGCATCCAGGAGGCTGCCACTTCCATAAAAGAAGTGAGGCATCCCAGGCCAGGCATTCTGGCCAGTGCTGGCAATGCGGAAGTGCTGCTGCACTCTCACTTGATGCTGCACTGCTGCCAAAGGCACTGACGGGGCGCGTAGTGGTGAGGAGGGGTGCTGCAGGGCAGCAGGGCTCAGGCAGCCATAGCCAGGCTGCTCGGCGCCAGGGGGTGCAGCGGACGATCTGGTGGTCTTCAGGGAAGGAGGCAAGTGTGGGGTAATCAAGGTCTGATTGAGAGTGACGAGATATGTACCTGGTGCATGAAGAGAGGTCGGCTATGGAGTTGACAGTCATGTACATTGGTGTTCGAGAGTCGAAGTGAGCCTGTTGCGTGAACACAGTTGTAGGTAGGATAGTCGGGTAGAGTAGGCTGGGCGCTGGGCGCCAGACAGAGAGTAGCGACTTTGGATTTTGTGTTGGTGCGGCCTATAGGCTTGGACATTGACTCATTACTTCATTGTATTGCTTTATATGGATGGTTTTCTCGGTGCAACTTGGTTTTCTGTATATCGTTCACACTCATATTCCTTGCACGTATATCCCCGATGACAAATTGTCTAGTTGTATGGTTAAGGGATATGAGTCCCCCGGTGGATGAGGTAGTAACACTGAGAGATTGCTATGATGGTCTTGTCCTGACTCGGTTGGATTGCAACCGCGGCGAAACTGTCGTCATTGCCCCAAAATTTATTATGAGGCCATGATGGACATGTTTGTTCGATCCCCCGGGTACAAGGTGATGACTGTCGGTGAGAAGGAGATCCTGCGTGAGATTCGGGAAGATGTGAAGGTGGCGGGCTTACAAAAGTTTGAAAGATGGGATACCAAGGGTGGGATCAGGTCCGCTTATATCATTCCTGAGCATAAAGATTTAACCCGATACTGACCCATCTGCCCTACCTTTGCTGAACCCATGATACGTACGAGCAGGGTAGTGTCAAAGGGTCTTAACCTCTTGCTGTCGACCCTTCCCCGAGACTATCACTTCAATCTGTCCGCTGTATCACAGTTGAAAGATAGGCTCGGTTAGACTTCAAGATCCTACGATCGTAGCGGTGCAATCGTTTGATATAAAGGATATGTTCAGTCGG